TTGTAATTTTTAGGCACAAAAAAGAAAGGTTTAAAACTTTCAAGAATAAAACGTCATGTGTATCGTGAAAAGAGGAAGTCATCAGCGCTTACATCTCCTTTTTCGCCTTTTAAATTGTCCCCATGTGTCAAAAGATTCCACGTATCGCAGACTCAAAAGTCCAAGAATTCACCAGAAAGTGCACGTATTACTTTTTTCCAATTCAAAGAAAAAACGCTTAATATTTAATTCACAACTATTAAGTCCCATTATTATTATGATTATTATAGAAACGGCAAGCCGTCCATATGGCAAATACGCCGAGAATAACAGGGACGGCCCTATGGCAGTGAAAGTATTAATTTATGGAGAGAAGCCAATCATAAATTGAAATTTTATGTTTATTAAAATTCTCATTGCGATAAAACAGTTATAATATATCGAACTCTACTACTATGAAGAACTATCATGACCTGGGCGGCATCTCGGGTTTTCCTTACAGACAATGTTCGCAGCCCATATTCTGTAAAGTAAACCTTCGATGTCGCATCAGGCCATGATATTTACACATAACAATCTGTCGCTATAACTTTAACTTGTGGAATAATGAATGTAAACAATATTATAGAAACATATTATATGACACGATAGCTTTACAAAGTTCAATACTTTCAGTTTGGTTTGTCCAAGTTACATATCATTTATTAGTGAATTGTTTATCATAAGAGTACTATCCGCTCTGTGTCAACATTTTCATGTACTCGGGCCTTTTAGTATTTCTAATGCTAGCATAAGCTAGTAAGCTCTGTCACTGTGGTAATCAAACACACTCAGGTTACAATTGAACTTTCAGCCAAAGCTGCAAAACCTATATTGTTTCTATAGATTGGCTATTCAATGATTATATGGAAGTGGTCCGTTGTTTTGTAGATGGTTTTCTACATCACTTATGAAGTTCTTCAGCACATTTGGAGCTCAAATGTAATTTTGAGCGATTCCCTTGTATGTAGCCAAATCTCAATAAATGTTTAAACCAGGATTTTTTTGAATGTTTAGCATCGACCTGTAGTGAGATTTAGTAAAATCTTTTTTTTGTGAGTCAGTTTAGTGACATTTTCTTCATTCACATTGCATGTTTTGGACACACCAGAACCCACGACGGAAAGAATATCTCGATGAAGACTGCATAGAAATCCAAAACAACAATGGGTAATTTAGAGGTGAGTCAGGAGGGTAGAATCACATTTCGATTTCTTAAAAAAGGATTGAATTTTATATAAATGTTTAAAAAGATGAAAACTTATCCTGCGATCGGCCTATTTTTCCAGTCACATCTGGTGTTATGCTTCACATCTGGTGCAGCGGAAATTCACATATCATTTTTACCGATGCTCATTTATTTTTGAGATTCATATGCCCCCCCCCCCCCAGATAGATATGTGTCAACTTTCAGGTACCCAATTAACATTTCCTCGTCAAAACCAGTACCGATATATCGACATGTCATTACTGTGTCACATTGAAGGTTCCATGATAACCGCCATATGAACACATCTGCGGATGTTTGTAACTTCAAAAATTTACCATTTCTTGTTTAAATGTTGAATTCTGCTTTAACCGGTGCTAGAGGCGTGGACGGTAGTTTGCACTTTACAGTACCGTCCATGAACATGCACAATCAAATCAAGTATGCAACATTTTTATGCCCCCGCCATATAATGGCAGGGGCATATAGTGTTACCCTGTTCCGTCATTCCGTCATTCCGTCCTTCCGTCATCATCAGTTTCCGTTCATTATCTTAATAACCCTTGCACATATTGAACTCAAATTTGACATATGGATATGTCATGAGAAAATACAGGTCAAGTTCGAAATTGGTCATGGTTCGATGATATTTGGCAGAGTTATGCCCCTTTTACATTGAAAATAATATGAAATTTTCAGTTTCCGTTCATTATCTCCCAAACGGTTCAAAACATACAATTCAAAATTGACATATGGATATGTCATGAGAAAATACAGGTCATGTTCGAAATTGGTCATGGTTCGATGATTTTTGGCAGAGTTATGCCCCTTTTACTTTGAAAATAATATGAAATTTTCAGTTTCCGTTCATTATCTCCCCAACGGTACAACACATTCATTTCAAACTTGACATATTGATATGTCATGAGAAAATACAGGTGAAGTTCAAATTTGGTCATGGTTCGATGATTTTTGGCAGAGTTATGCCCCTTTTACTTTGAAAATAATATGAAATTTTCAGTTTCCGTTCATTAACTCCCCAATGGTACAACACATTCAACTCAAACTTGACATATAGATACGTCAAAGGAAAGCGCATGTCAAGTTCAAATTTGGTCATGGTTCAATGATTTTTGGCAGAGTTATGCCCCTTTCACTTTGACAATAATATGAAATTTTCAGTTTCCGTTCATTATCTCCCCAATCGTACAACACATTTAGCTCAAACTTGACATATCGATACGTCAAAGGAATGCGCAGGTCTAGTTCAAATTTGGTCATGGTTCGATGATTTTTGGCAGAGTTATGCCCCTTTCACTTTAAAAATAATATGAAATTTTCAGTTTCCGTTTATTATCTCCCCAACAATATTACACATTCAACTCAAATTTGACATATGGATATGTTTTTGGAATGCGCAGACCAAGTTCGAATCTGGTCATGGTTCAATGATTTTTGGCAGAGTAATGCCCCTTTCACTTTGAAAATGATATGAAATTTACAGTTTCTGTTCATTATCAACCCAACAGTGTTACATATTCAACTCAAAATTGACATATGGATATGTCAAAGGAATGCGCAGGTCAAGTTGGAATTTGGTCATGGTTCGATGATTTTTTGGCAGAGTTATGTCCCTTTCACTTTCACATCTTAGGAATAAGCAGTTTAAGTTTGAATTTGGTCGTGGTTCAATGATTTTAGACAAACTTATCTTTCCTGAATGTTGGAAAAATTTTGAACTTTCAGTTTCAGCACTCATACTTTTGTGGAAATGTATATAGCCATTATGTTGGCTACAAATATGCAATATGCTATTTTTAAAAGGTTAAGACTGAATAATTTCAGTGCCTTGAACATTGTATAAAAATGGTTTGTGTTAACATTGAAAAGTTTTAAGGGCTTTGAACTTAGAATGAAAAAAATAATTTGTGCAAACAAATTTGGAACTAAATATTATAACATTTGAAATTTTGGCTGCATGCGGGGGCATCCGTGGCATGATGACACATTTCTAGTTAATTTTGCCGTGTTGGGCTTTCTTTAGGGATTCTTATTTCTCTCTATTTTAAAGAAAAGTATTGAAGAGAAAAAAAACTGCTGGTATAAAACAGAAACATCAATGCATCAAGAAGTCTTATGTTTTCACGAAATATGGTGATAAAGTGGACAAAATACATACAATAATACAGGTAAGAATCAACTTTCAGGTGCCCAACTAACGTTTCCATATAGCTAAATCACTGCCAAAATAAACTAAATGTTTATAATTTTGCTGTTTATAGCAATTTCTTTTGGGTTTGTTTTTCTTCATTTTTAAGGGATGTAATTCATGTTTACTAAAATGTTTATTCTTATCTGTCTATCTTAGTCATAACAGACTATTCTAGCTGTATATAAACATAACTAGAACCCCGCGAGTGGGATGTGTCGCCTTGTGAGGGGAAATTGCCAGGACAAAAATGAAATATGAAAATTAACAAAGGGCAATAACTCAAAAAATAAGAAAAGCAGAGTACCAGTTCTTAAGCACTGCACTTTTTCTTAATGAGATTTATCATTCTATGAAGATTCAAGTCCATAGCTTTTATACTTAAGGGATAATGGCCCGGACAAAAATAAAGTATGACAATTAACAAAGGGCAATATCTCAAAAATTACTTAATTTGCATTTATTCATTGATAACAGAATTTTTCTTAAAAGTTTTAAATACATTTTAAAATTTTAACTTGTATTCAAAAAAGGCAAGCCCTTGAAGTAATAGTATATTTAAGCGTTACGGTCCAGTGGAGAAGCTGTGTAAGCGGCTGGATAGCTCAGTTGGTAAGAGCTGTGGTACGGTATTCCGAGGGTCCCATGTTCTAGTCATGGTCACGCTGCACATATTCTAACCCCGTGACATTCTGCGCCCAAGTTCTGGCTTTGACTGAATATATCTCAGAGCTAAATTCACGATGCTTTGTAACCTGATAAATTCGAAGATGAATTTCAATATAGGAGGAAAATATTTTCGCTTAGGAACATTACTATTTAGTGTGGGGGTGGGTAGCTCAGTAGGAAGAATCACGGTATGGTTTTCCGAGAGTCCTAGGTTTGAGTCCCGATCAGGCTGCACAATATTTTATTAATGGTGCTTTCTTTACTTTAATTATTTTCAATTTTTCTTGTCGTTATTTCATATAAACCCACTTGACTGCGATAAAACAAAATAAGAGATTGATATCGGTGGGAAGCACTGGTGTCGGTATGATAAAAAGACAAAAAGTGATTGTTCGCTAAACATTGGGCAACAAAATGATTTTGTATTGTCGCATGAAAGTAAATGTTTCCCCTTCGTCATTTTATCTGTTTTTTGTTGTTGTAGTTGAAGGGAAAATACTGACAAAAAGAAATCAATCTGTCACTTTTTCAAGGTTTTGCTACTTGTAACAACAACAACCAAACAAAATAACGAAATGGCAAAAATCAGACAAAATGGCAGCTTGACTTTTGCTTCACTAAAATGCAGTACGCTGTTGAGTTCTATTGTTAATTTGAATTGTCATTTTTTGTCTAAATGAAAAAATACTGTCAGGATATTCCAATACATGCATCGACATAATTGTTCTAAAGATTTTTACCAATTTATTAAAGCGCTTTGTTCGTAAACAAAGTCACAGCCAAGTCTTAAAAACATGAAATATTACGCCCGTGTGATTATTAGCATAACCGGTTATAAACGCCAGCCATCCGATGAGTCATTATCATTCATGCTGTATATAAAGTTTAAAAATAAAGTTTATTTATAGTACAGAAAAACAATTTTGATATTTGGGTTAACGTGCCTTGATGTACTGTTAGTCGGATAAACAACTTTGTTAAAATTCTCACAGCATGTTATTTTAGATATATTTTGCTATTTGTCACGTCTTAATACGTTAAGACGATTTTAAACTGTTAATTGACTAGTATTTTTAGCGAGTTTTTAATTTTTATCAGTATATTTACAACAAATTAAATGAAATTGTAAGGACGTATTGCAGTTTTTAAGGATCATTTGAAAAAATAGTGAAATAAATAAAATGAGAGAAGACACAAAAATAAAAGGTGGAAAGGATTTATTCTTCGTAAACACAGTATGTTTTCCAAAAATTTTTATGTAAGTATGACTTTGTCAGTTTTCTCCTTCTCATGTTCAATGATGCTAAGAACTACTTCAGTTAGATTTGCAAAACATCAAGATATGTATTGGCCGAATCATATTGGTATATGGAATTTGGAGGAGGACAGAGCAATAAGTAGCAGTGATCAAAATATTGCATTCCACAATTATATTCATGTATTATACTTTATATTACATGCGAAACAAACAATTGGTCTTTTCCACAATATATAATCTTGCAATGACTTGAAAGAAGTTATTTTAGGCTACCTATGTAGGCACATTTCTAAAACAGCTGTTACAAGAGGTTAAAAAGTTAACATGTAAGAAACAGGTGGTGTACAATCAAGAAGTCTTTAATATAGTATTGATAAAATTGATATAATCTAAAACTCTTTCTTTCCTATGACTAGATATCAATTTACTAGTTTAATAAAATGTGACGACGTAAATGGAAACATGTATAGAGTAGTGTGCAATAAACTCGGATTGACTGTTAACTATATAAACAAAAATTCGGGTTGACTTCTTATATGAAGATAAAACCAAATTCATGCAAATGAACATTTCTTTATAAAAGACTATACACACATATCACACCGTATTACCGGCGGCATTGATGGCAGATCACTGCAGTGATGGCAGATAGCTAAAATTTACCGCTCGGTACAGGTAGGTTATAAATTTGGTTGGTATTATTATATTACTCAAATACGGCCCATTTCATTTTTATGAAACTATTGTCCATTGACTGGAGATACTATTAGGTAATTTTGGACTCGTTTTTTCCTGTTTTTAGACTATTTTGAGCAGGATAAAAGTGACAGCTTCGGAAAAATCCATAAAAATGTCTGTTTTTTGTTCAAAATATCTCAAGTTTTAACTAAATGGCAGGATTTCGTGTTATTAATATAGACGTTCATCCATTGAGGTCACGCAAGCCAAATATCTACCCCGTGAGTCTTTTCTTGAAAGTTTTACAGACGTTCAATCTGGTCCGGTCGAAGAAAAAATGCTGCAAAAGTTTAGCAGCGCATAATTTACTGCCTTTTCAAGACATAACGCCATTTGTATATCACAACTGTAACTTCAGTAAGTTGATATTCATTTGCTAGCATATGACATTATTTTCTCGAGGTTCATTTCTATATGACATATAAAGCCTGAAATTTACTTAGTCGGCGCCAATGCTGCATATTATAAGTAACTAAATCGAGGTAATATAGGGAAGATTATTAACATTGCAACTGACAAGATCTGTGGACATCAGTGTATCATAAAACAATGTATGTTAATGTAAAATGGAGATTAAGATAATATTATCGACAGTTCAAATATTTTCCTATATTATCAAGTTCTTAAAAAACACGACAACGTGGATTCATTTCTTTAAATTTTCATGTTTAAAATCGCGTTGTAGTTTGTCTACTATGCTAAAATATTAACAACAGTACTAAAAGTAAGGTGGACATAAAACGCGATTTCAAACATGAAAATTTAAAGAAATGAATCCACGTTGTCGTGTTTTTCAAGAACTTGATAATATAGGAAAATATTTGAAGTGTAGATAATATTATCTTAATCTCCATTTTACATTAACAGATCTTGTCAGTTGCAAGGTTAATAGTCTCCCCTTTATTACCTCGATTAAGTAATTTATATTCTGCAGCATTAGCGCCGACTAAGTAAATTTCAGATTTTATATGTCATAAAGCGATGAACATTATTACCTCGAGAAAATAATGTCATATGCAAGCAAATGAATATCCACTTACTGTAGTTACAGCTGTAATATGCAAATGGCGTTATGTCTTGAAAAGGCAGTGGATTATGCGCTGCTAAACTTAAGATACATATGGTATTGTATGCATGTAACTGACAGACACAACAGATCAAGCACACATGCATGAATATAGAAAACTGAATTTCTTCATCTTAATTGCTCTATTTATAGTGCAATTTGGTCGTACTGAATCATCACATTTTGTTTTGTAACTGCGTGTTGCTAAAAAGCCTTTTCGATGCACATACCGCATTAATAACTTTTCTTTCTTGAGAAAATATAAGAAATGATAGTTTAACGTCTCAAATCCGAATAAAAGGGCGCAAAGAATAGAGGAATTGATAAAAGATTGACCTTGATTTTCTGTCATAATGTTAGCCACTTTCATGGTATTTCTGCCGTCGACGGCAGCATTTAATATAAGTATCTGCCCACATTGGCAGCATTTTTTCTTCAACCGGACCAGATTGAACGTCTGTAAAACTTTCAAGAAAAGACTCACGGGATAGATATTTGGCTTGCGTGACCCCAATGGATGAAGGTCTATATTAATAACACGAAATCCTGCCATTTAGTTAAAACTTGAGATATTTTTAACAAAAAACAGACATTTTCTCGGATTTTTCCGAAGCTGTCACTTTTAACCTGCTCAAAATAGTCTAAAAACAGGAAGAAACGAGTCTAAAATTATCTAATAGTATCTCCAGTCAATGGACAATAGTTTCATAACAATGAAATGGGCCGCATTTGTGTAATATAATAATACCAACCAAATTTATAACCTACCTGTACCTAGCGGTACATTTTAGCTATCTGCCATCACTGCAGTGATCTGCCATCACTGCCGCCGGTAATACGGTGTGCATATTAACATTGTAAATACATGTATATTCGAGCATTCTCAAGCATATCACGCTAATCTATGTTACCTTGATATTGTTACGGCATCGAATAACCGGCAAAAAATCTGAGGCATTAACAATTTTTTTACTGAGAAATAAAACACGGACATTTTACTAGATGGAAAGCAAACCATTTACTTAAACTTGATTTTCCAAAGTTTAAGTAAAAGTGATGAATGAAAACTCATGACACCAATTATTATACAAGAAAAAAAAGAACATCACAAACCTTTGATTGTCTTGAGCATAAAATATGATTGCTGGAACTGATACGTCAACAGAGACATTTTGACCAGAAGACAAATTAATATACCCAATATACCCATATCCTATTCAAACACACAACCACTTGCGTTTATGTGAATGTCTCAAAATGTAAATTTCTGTTTGACTTTAGTCACCTTTTTTAAAAAAAGAATTTGCCTGATAAACATTATTAAATTATCTATGAAAAGATAGACAGTCTTCAAGTCGAATTTATAATGTCTGCTAGTCACGACTGAAACAAACTTGCCAATGCTACACTGGTTCACATAAAAGCAAGAACAACAAGTAATGAAAACTCAAACTTAGTATCATTTTCTCTGCTTTTCATATTAATAATCAAATAATGTTTAAAAGAATCATTTTTTAAATCCAATAAAATATTATAAGTCCGAATTGTTTTTAATTGCAATAAAAAAGATTTATCATACATAAACAACTCTTTATATATAATCAATATTCCTGCCAGATATACAAAAAACGCGTAAACTACATCAACAACGGTGTCATACACCGTTGAGGTAACAATAAATGTTTACCGACAGTCATTTTTAGGTAACAATTAGAACGGTGTAAATATGTATATATCAAAGTACATTACACCGTTGCTTAAATGATACTTTACAGCACAATAACACCAGTACATATGAAAAAGAACATATGGACAAAAAATAAATTCATGACATGAGTTTATTATATGATTTACTTTCATACATGAACCCTTAACATTTATTTAATTAAATTACATTTTAATGAAAAAATGGTCACGATGTTCGCGACAACAGTTTCTATTATATATACTACATTTTGTATGGCTACCGAAGGAGTGGGTTAGTGTATAACTTCTTTTAATTATATATTACTCCGAATCTTTAGCGTTGTGCAATTTTCTTCATGCGAATTTGAAATAATTTACGATATAATGGCGATAGCATAGCATAACATAATATAACATAACTTAACAGTCTATTTGATGCAAGTCGACCATAATTTTGTTTTGTATAACTTCTATTCGACATTAAAATTGTTACAACAAAATTATAGTCGATTTGCATCAAATAGTGCAAAAGTGAGACACGTGACTTCCTTACCTAGAAATATATATTTGTTTACCGAAAAGTTCACCAAATGACAAATGTCAATCATATTAGAATAAAATATGTATTTGGTAATTATACGAAGATAACATAACCATTGTGCACAATTATCAGAAATGTATTGTCGGGGCGATAGCACTGCAAGTGTGAATATTTTTCTTGTGCGAGTTGTTTCCCTTCCCTTGCAAAACTTCTTATCCCGCTTATATAAATTCAAAACATGTGCCAAACTTACACCTCAAAATATTGTGATTTGCAGCTATAAACATTACTTTATTATATGCCCGAAAGAATTTCGGACATATTATGTTATACCCCCTGGCGTCCGTCCGTCTGTCTGTCCGTCCGTCCGTCTGTCCGTCCGTCCGTTAGCAATTTGGTTTCCGGAGCATAACTTAAGTTCCATTTGGCCCACAATATTCAAACTTCATAGGATGATTGTCCATATTGAGTAGAAGACCCCTATTGATTTTGGGGTCATAAGGTCAAAGGTCAAGGTCACTATGACCTTAAAACTGAAAACGTTAGCAATTTGGTTTCCGGAGCATAACTTAAGTTCCATTTGGCCCACAATATTCAAACTTCATAGGATGATTGTCCATATTGGGTAGAAGACCCCTATTGATTTTGGGGTCATAAGGTCAAAGGTCAAGGTCACTATGACCTTAAAACTGAAAACAGTTTCCGGAGCATAAACTTAAGTTCCATTTGGCCCACAGTGTTCAAACATCATAGGATGATTGTCCATATTTGGTAGAAGACCCCTATTGATTTTGGGGTCACAAGGTCAAAGGTCAAGGTCACTATGACCTTAAAACTGAAAACAGTTTCCGGAGCATAACTTAAGTTCCATTTGTCCTACAGTGTTCAAACTTCATAGGATGATTGTCCATATTTGGTAGAAGACCCCTTTAGATTTTAGGGTCACAGGTTCAAAGGTCAAGGTCACTA